CGTGACATATTCTATACAAATGACAGGTTTGTATTCTTATTTTATATGCTATCTATTTCAATAAACTAATTTCGTATACAGTACTACATAAGATCTTTAGTATAAATATTTTTCTGAGATATTTTAAAAACTATCGAAATATGTCAAATTAATTGTAATTAGTATTTGTTTCTTAGGTCCTACAGATTCGTGTAGTCAATGTGAAACAACTGGACATGGTGTATGTATAGATAATAGTACAACATGTCAATGTTTTCCTGGATTTCAAGGTCCATCATGTTCAAGTATTGATTACTTATTTTGTTCGATTAGTTAGAATAATAAGGATATTTTTGTTTACATTTATAGATCCGGTTGATATAATACCATCTGATGGTACTAGTTCTTCTACAACTGATATAGTTACATTAAATGTTGGTGCTATTGTAGCTAGTACTGTTGCAGGTGCTCTCATAACTGTTATCATTGGTTTAATAATATTCTTTATTTGGAAAAGAAGAATGTATAAAAATAAGAAATCATCAGAACTTTCATCTTCAGTACCATCAGCTCAACCTATTGCTGTATCAGCGTTATACAATTTCCCAATATCTCAACAAAACTCATCTATATCATCTTGTGCAACAATGGAGTACCATTTATACGAAGAATTACCATAAATCATAAATTTACTATTGTTTTTTTTGTTAAAAATAATACTATATAAAAAAATATGAAATATTCTATTGCAGTAATTTTCAACCAAAAAATTGAAACATAAAATTCTCAGTACCCAGACAGGAAATACTCAAAAAAAAACGGAGAAATACGCGTAAAAATTTTGAAATTTTAACTAGGCATGCACTAATTCCAATTCGGTTCGGTTCCAATTCTAGAATTGGTTGAAATCGATATGGAATTGACTTAAAATGACTAGAAATCGTAGGAACTTTCATGTCATTTAATGAAACTAACCGAAGCTAAGACTAGATTAGAATGGATCATTATAAACTACAGGAAATCGATCTAATTTAGCCAGCGTTTGTAAAAAACATTTTCGTATTTGATTTAGAATCATACCGATCAGAATGAACTTAAGAGTAGAATATAAGTGTTCAGATCTCGACCAAATCGAGATCAACTACATAAATAAAAGTAGAATATGCAAACGATTAAACATATCTTTATTAGACAACGATATTTTCTTTTTAACATGCTGTTTTTGTACGTCATCATATTTCGTGTTGTTCTTTACTTTTGTTTATCACTTTCATTTTTCTTTCTCTTATTCTTCCTTCTTCTTTTAGATTTTTCTTTTCATCAAAACACGTATTATCACTTGCCATCTTAATCATTATTTATATTAACATGTAACCTATACTACAAGATGATTTTATTAACAAAGAATAAATATGTGAAAATGAGAAAAGAGCAAGAGCAAAAAAAGAACGATAAGAAACAAGAGAGATGAACGTTAGTCTTTTTTTTACATTAATTTCATTGTAAATACGGTGACCATGTGCCAATAAGATAGGTGCATACAAGAAGCACCAAGAATTATAATTGTTATCATGTCTAATGTGATACGACCATTTCGTTAATTGATACCGGTATTCAAACCAAAAACACTCATTATGGCTATCCCTAGATAAACTATTTGGGCACCATCTCGTGTATACTTTGCCAAAAAAATCCTTCTTTTTGTTTAAAGGCAGCTAGCGATGAACAAAAGAGAACTATCCAGGTCGAACAATCCGGCACGGAAACGGCCGGTTTCATGGTATTCCCATTGAACGGATCCAGTGACCGGATTTATCGGGTTTAGACAGGAGCCATCGCCCTAGGTAATGGAACAAGAATTCCGAAAAAGACGATCAAGATTTTTATTATTTTCATCCAAAACATTCATAAAATGTTTTAATTGAACTTTTGTTAAAAGTGATTTTTGATTTGTTTTATTATTGATTTGCTTCTTTTAAATAGAGGCAACAATTATTAGTATACATAAAGATGATGACTAGTCCAAACAATACAGTAGTCAATCGAACTATATATGTATTTATTAGACGACAACGAAAAAGTAAAATTTCTTTTTCGTCCTCTTATATATTGCAATTTATTGTTATATCAGCTGGTATAAACTCTCGAATAAAAGATGCAGATATACGATTAGGGGTTATCGATTTTCTGCTAGGAAGACTTGATTAAACTCGATAATTAGGGTGTGGGTGTGGGTATGGATGTGATATTACACTCACAGTCTGAAGAATTTAGTTTTTTTTATTTTCTTTCATTTATCAACACAAGTAACGCTCATCCTACGGATTCGCAGACCCTTTTATGAAAGAAAACTTCCTATAATTATTATTAAAAATAATTTTGATTTTGATTATATGTTAAGAAAGGAAATTTGGACAGAATCTACTCATCATGAAATCTTATTCGAACACGGTTCATTTTTATTTGAAGAATAAACGATCAGTCGCAGCGTATATCTCATTTTTTGACAAACTACCCTACCAAAATTTTTTTAACTAATATGACAATCTACCTCCTGGAATAATCGTATTGAAAATCACAACATTGATAACTATTCTTCTGCATCAATATTGCATTAATATCATTTTTTATAATATCTCCTGAATTAGTATCATCACTTGCAATAATCTTGTACATTAATAACATGAATTAATATTATTTTATAATAACATTTACAAAAACTCTCTTCATACATTGCTTGAAAAGAAATTCGAAAGACTTTGTGCATTATATATTTATTTATTATTGAAAATATTTCTTATTGTCTTTTCCCTTTTGTTTCTCTTCCTCTCCTTTGCAATTATTAAACAAGTATTTATATTTACATTTGTTTAATTTCATCTTAAAATAAAAAATAATTAAAAAAATATTTCTCTGTTTGTTTCTTTCTTTTGTTTTTTTTTCGCTTATTATTATTTATTCTCATAATCAGTGTTGACTTGAATTTATATAAGAAAAAATCTAGAATTATTCACATGTCTCTAGAGAATTTTACCTTTTGTTTTTATTACTAACTTTAAACATTTTTATTCTTTTTCTGATCTTTCACCATAATAGAACTGACAACATCAATCAACAGTACAACGATTATGACGAAGTCTATTTCATCATTACTTATTATTCTTATCTTCTTCTTCTTCCTAACAGCTATTGTTGAAGTAACTCCTAATGCACATTTTGTTCGACCATATACTGAAGGTTTTCAATCACATTGGTTAACTAATTCTAATGATAATAAAGATGATTTATTAAAATGATGGTTTGATCATAAACGAGTGATTGGTTCAAGTAGAAATCGTGCTGCTGCATCATCATTATTCAATGTTCTACATCCCGTTATTCTATTTAAAGGTTAAATATGATGACTATTATATTCTTCTTGACTCAATTGTTTATTTTTATTTAGGATGTATTGATTCATCGGAACCGTTTCAATGTCCTCAAAGTCAACAATATATTGCTCTCCAATTTATTTGTGATGGTCATCCAGGTGATTGTCCTGATAATCTTGATGAAAATGAAGAAACATGTATTGCAGCTAAACATCCAGTAAAGGAAAATATTGAAAAATATCTTCATGCTGCATATACATTTCTATTTGGCGAAAAACTTTCGAGAAGTATTGATGAAAATAAAATATTTTCGTTTGATACATTAGCATCAGCATTTTCTTATTTTTGCTAATAAAAGATAGTTATTATTTTCTAGTGTCGAAAAATATTCATAGTTTTGCTGAAAAAACATTTATGTCATCAGGTGATCTAGCACATTTTCGAAATATTTTTCAATTAATTCATGATGGTCGATTAGAAGATATTCCTTTGTTTGCACAAGAAGCTGTTAATCAAGGCCTTGCAGCATTAGTTGAAAAGCTCTATGACTCGGGATTTATGGATTAATTAATAAAAATATAAAGAAAAAGGATAACTTTTGTTCATATGATTTTTGGAAATTAATAAATAAATGAGAGCATTATGAACTTTTTATCATTTAGAATTATCAATATGTCATTTATAACAAATAAAATATTTGAACTACTGAAGTTTTATTTTAATTCGGATGTGTAGAAAAATTCAATTGAATTATTAAAACATTTTCATTCTCAAACTAGATCAGTTTTTATTTCAAAAGCTTATATATCGTCATAAAAAAAAGTTTTCATAATAATATTACAGCTAAAACACTATATCAAAAATCCATTTAATTATTTTCATCATAATTGGTATATTTTTTGTCTCTATTTTGAGTTCTTTCTTTTTGTTTTTTCTTGTCATATCTTGTTCTTTGTAAATCTCGATGATTTACTTCCACATTATAAGTTACTCTTAACAATTCAGCCAGTCGTTCAATAACAGCGACTGATCGATGTTGACCTTGTTCACATCCAACTGCTAGTTTTATTGAATTTTTCTTTTGATTATGAATGAAACTTGATAGTTGTTCCGTAATCATTTTAATTAACTCTTCATATTCCACTAAATTTAATCATTCATTTTGTATTCGTTTATGTCGTCCATCGTATTGTTGATAGTTTTCAACATTAGTTGTTGGAAAATGACGTACTGAATATAATAAATCAATATTTTGTGGAACACCAAATAAAACTAATTCGATAGTAATATCTCCGGCTTCAACCATTAATAACAAATTATATTTTTATAACGTTAGAAATGAATTAAACCTCAGTATACAAGGTTAATTTTATACTATGTTAAAAGAGGAAAAACAAAATTTCAGTAAGAAGACAGTGTCGTCAGACGACAAACATGAGTCACGATTCTGATGTTTTTACCGTAATTACACGTGTTATAAAAATGACATACAATAAAATAGATGCTTTTTATAGTTCTATATAGTAGATTCAATCCTATAATAAACATATTAGAAATTTCATAATCGATTATCATATCTTATAATATCGTTTAAAGATCATAAAAAAAAGTTTGTTAACATCTTTGATAAATATTTTTCACCTCGATATTGAAAGCACGATTTAAAGGCTGTCACAGTTATCCTAAAATGGAGTCGAATTTATATTCTTTCGAAGTACAAGTGACAGTTATTTATCTAGCTGATTCATTATTGATCATCAGCTGTACTTCAAGCTGTAAAACATTTGTTAGAAGAGAACAGATGCTAACTTTCGCTTTTTCTTTCTTTTTTAATTATTCCGCAATGTGAAAAAAACAATATCGAATCTTGTACGGCATTTTTTTATGATAAAAAGAGTAGATAAAATTTATCTACCGTGCGTTTCTGCCACTATATACTTATGTTTCACTTCATTTTCGGTCACTTCTATGACAAATATTGTAGAGAATGACGTACAAGACAGTTTTCTTTTACCAGATTTTTTCATTCGTTTGTAGTGACGGAATCACCTCCCTTGAGTTGTTGGAAATGTAACGACAAATTTCTGTGGATTTGCAGATAGTTTTAAATGAATTTTCTTCCATTTTATAGCCAGTTTCTACAAACTATCATTGAATGATATTTGTAACTCGATTATTACCGATGCTTTACTATCTTCGTCATTATCAATATGGCTATCATTAGCAGCAATCATTTTCTCTGCTAAGTACAAATATTATAACTTATGATATTCTTAACTAACAGTGTACAATAGACAGACGATTGTATACAATGAATTGAAAGATTTGGATGATTCGTAGAAAATACTTCAGAAAAAAAAATATATCGGTAAAGAACAGCCTCAGCAAGTGGAGTACCAAGAATTCATCGGATATGTGTGCAATAATAATTTATTAGAACTGAAATTGAGTTAAAAATGAAAAGCAGAAAAAAATTGGAAAAGCAGAAACGACAGAAAAAAAGCGGAAGAGGTGGCGACCTTGGTCGCAAAGTTTTGTTAAAATTCTTAATATAGAGTGAAGATAAATGTTAGTTCAAATCGTGCAATGTTTTATAAGAGTAATGTACTTAGTAGAGTAGTAAAATATTAATGAATAAATAAAAGTTAGTCATCGATAAGTCTTAACAATGCAAGAGAACACTGACGGTGTTCGAATTCCGGTTTGCAACAACAATATCGGGTTTATTGTCGCTATTCACATCGACGACTGCTACTGAATATGGAGAAGTACCAACTGAGTACATCGTTTGAGCATTAAAGGTGCCGTTGCCTGCGTTGAGAAGGACACCGACGGTGTACGGCGAACCCTGGTTTGCAACAATAATATCGGGTTTATTGTCGCTATTCACATCGACGACTGATACTGCCTGTGGAGAAGTACCAACTGCGTAAGTAGTTTGATTATAAAAGGTGCCGTTGCCGGCGTTGAGAAGAACACCGACGGTGTACGAACCCTCGTTTGCAACAATAATATCAGATTTATTGTCGCTATTCACATCGACGACTGCTACTGAAGATGGAGAAGTACCAACTGCGTAAGTAGTTCGATTATAAAAGGTGCCGTTGCCTGCGTTGAGAAGAACACCGACGGCGTTTAAACCATAGTTTGCAACAATAATATCGGGTTTATTGTCGCTGTTCACATCGACGACTGATACTGAAGATGGAGAAGTACCAACTGAGTAAGTAGTTTGATTATAAAAGGTGCCGTTGCCTGCGTTGAGAAGAACACTGACGGTGTACGAA